CAAGATGGGATGCTGCCTGATTCATAAGTCACTGAATAAAGCCAATTTGTTCTTTAGGTTTACTCAGCTGAAATTTTGTTGTTTAACAAGTGCAACAAAACAATTATAGAATTCATCAGTCCTGAGGGCTTTGGCAAACTCTGTTTTTTAAAAACCATGACACAGATAAGAAAAAGCAGGAATGGTGACCCAACAGAGAGGGTCAGTATTGCAAGCAGTGTGAGACCAGGCTGAGGTTCAGTTTTCTCCTCTTATCCTCACTCATGAACTTGTGTCTTATTAGTCTAACATAGCTTCTAAAGAACTGGATGTGTGTCCCCAGCGTAATACAGAGGAAGATAAATCTCCTCCTTTCTGCTGATGACACAGTTTTACTGCCATGAACGAAGAATGACCTTGAAGGATTTAACCACAACCAGGAAGAATGACTCAAGTCAAATTACCCCAGACCTAAAGTCATTGTCTTAGCAGACACTCTCCAAAACTCAATGGGTTGTTGCTCAGTAAGTTCATGAACAAGTCAACATGTAAAGCTCAGCCATCCTGGTGAGTTCCTCAGGGTCCTTAGCTACTCCAACCACATAAAAGGAGGGTTCTTCAATGTCTTCTTGGACCTCTCCAGTGACAGCAAGCGGTAAGACTTTCTGTGAAGACACTTCAGGCCTAAACTATCTGGCAGACTCTATAGTGTGAAACTTGGGCTCTCATTAAAGACCAGATTTAAAGTTAGACCAGTTCCAAAGATACTTCCTAAGGAAAATCTTAGATTTTTTTCTGCAAAGGCCTCCCCCTGTTGAGGACAGCAGCCTCCCCCTCCTCCACCTTGAGAGGCAGAATTGGTCCCGCTGCCCCAGTTTCTGGACTCCCAAGTGCATGGGCTTCCTCTCTGTCAGCTCCATGGAGTTAATTATTAATTAATTGCAGAGCTCAGGCGCTTCTCGGGAGCACAGACAAGCCCCCACCAGGGGGAACTGAGGACTCCTTTTAGACGTAGGCTGCTTCCTCCTTCCTCTTGCTCCTCTTACCTTTAATCTTTGTGTCAAGTTAGAATATCAGGCTACATACCTGAATGACATGAGTTTAACTTCATCCAGAGTCCTCTCTGCTCAGTTATACCTTAAGGCCATGCTTTGTCCTTTTATCAAGGTTTACTGTAAGAAACAGTCATAAGAACCCACAAAACAAATAATCCAATTATAAAATGGGCAGAAAACATGAACAAATATTTCTCCAAAGAAGACATCCAGATGGTCAACAGACACATGAAAAGATGCTCAGCATCCTCATTATCAGGGAAATGCAAAACAAAGCTACAATGAGATACCACCTCACACCTGTCAGAATGGCTAAAATCAACAGCACATAAACAACAAGTCTTGGTAAGGACGTAGAGAAAAAGGAAACCTCTTGCACTGTTGGTGGGAATGCACACTGGTGCAGCCACTGTAGAAAACAGTATGGAGGGTCCTGAGAAAGTTAACAATAGAACTACCTTACGATCCAGTAACTGCACTACTGGGTATTTACCCAAAATACACAAAAACACCAATTTAAAGGTATACATGCACACCCTGATATTTATTTCAACATTATTTATAATAGCCAAGCTATGGGAGCAGTCAAGTGTCCATCGACTAACGAATGAATAAAGAAGATATGGTATATGTAATACATAACATAAAATGGAATATTATCCAAACATAAAGAAGAATGAAATCTTGCTATTTGCAATGACATGGATGGAACTAGAGAATATAATGCTAAGCAAAATAAGTCAGAGAAAGGCAAATACCATATGATTTCACTCATATGTGGAATTTAAGAAACAAAACAAATGAGCAAAGGAAAAAAAAAAGAGAGAGCAAGTGAGGCAAACCAAGAAACAGACTTTTAACTATAGGGAACATGCGGATGGTTACCAGAGGGGAGAGGGGTGGGGGGAGGGGGGAACAAGGTGATGGGGATGAAGGAGTGCACCTGTTGTGATGAGCAGCAGGTGATGTATGCAAGTGCTGAATCCCTATGTTGTATGCCTGAAACTAATATTACACTGTATGTTAACTATACTGGAATTAACATTTTAAAAACTGAGTAATAATTTAAAAAATGAAATAGTCATTAAAAAACAACCCTGGAGTTTCTTGTAAAAACACGGTTACAAACATTCTCCCACACTTGAAGTCCACGATTTTATTTTAATAATTAACTGCCAGAAAGCATTTGGTCAATCCCAACGTACTGAAATACTTCCTATTTTCTGATAATGGAGACCATGACGTAATTGTCGCCCATTTTTTCCTCTATCTTCTGAAACTCTCAGAACCAAATTTATTGCTCATTCCACAAGTATTACCCATTCTCCTGTACGTGTTTTCTTCTTCCTCTTTCTAATTTATTTTGCTGTGTTGTTAACTTTGGGGGATAGAGACCCTCCATCACAGACCATCTGTTTTTGAAAATAGATACTGTGTTTTTAAAAGTAGTCATTAACAGGGGCGCGTGGGTGACTCAGTCGGTTGAGCATCAGACTCTTGGTTTTGGCTCAGGCCATGATCTCAGGGTCGTGAGATCGAGCCCCAAATTGGGCTCTGCGCTCAGCGGGGAGTCTGCTTGAGATTCTTTCTCTCTGTCTGCCCCTCCCTGCCCCTGCTCGCACATGTACTCTCTGTCTAAAAAAAAAAAAGAAAGAAAGAAAGAAAAAGTAGATTAACAGTAACTTGGATTCATGTACGCAGTGGGGAGAAAGAGGCATATAAGGGGGAGGAACCCCCTCTTCCTGGAGCACATTTGTCCTCTGCCCACCAGAGGGGCCCACTCTGCCAATCCCAGGTCCTCCTGCCCTATCAGTCCACCTTTTCATCACTGATCCCCAAAGCATCGCCAAGGTCATTTTTATTCCTTGAGCTAAATTCATGCTGGAGAACATGAGTGTGTGTTTGCTTCCAGAGTGTCCTGAGTCAGTGGCCCAGACTGCTCCACCCCAGCAACTGCTCCTGTGTATCTCCCCAGGCTGGTTGTGCCTTGCACCCCAGGGGGGTGCAGACATCCAGATGGAAGAACGGGCTTTTTGGGGGCTTCCTGGCAAAAGCACTTACTTGGGTGCAGTGGCCGATCCTTGCCCGCAGTATGAGACCAGTCTGTGGAGACACGCTGATATTCTTCTGTAAGACACCGAAACGCCTTACCCTTAAAATACTGCTATTGGCAAATGGCATCACAATGATGGCATCCTTAGCAGATTATGGAATGTCTCAGAGGTAAGTGTGTAATCACAAAGTCTTTTTCAAGAAAATTCAGGAGGAAAATGCAGTCAGTCTCTGATACAACCTCTATGAACATTCCAGAAAACCAGGTTTGAAGGTCCTAGGAGGGCAGGGCCGGGGGCGGGGCAGGGAAAAAAGCAAACATATCATTAGCCGAAAAACAAAACAATGCATTGAGGGACCATAAACCGCCCTCCACGGCTCAGGCTCCCCTCACCTCTGAGAGAGCCAGTGTGTTTGTAGGAGGAGGTCAGAGAACATATTTTTGGTTGTACAATAAATCCAACCAAATGTTGCCTCCAAAACTCATTAAACAAGATGACTCAGAAAAGGGGAAAAGCAAAAGTATGTATCAGTCATTTAAGCAGAGGGAGAGGAGGGGCAGTATCAACATAGGGGAGCCCCTGCTTGGCCATTTTATGCCGAGGAAGTGTGCAGTCTGGGACGAGGACACCAGCCGTGCAGCGTCCTTGCTTCACGACACGGCCCAGAGCGGTTCGAACACTAGCTGGTGCAGGTGAGCCTAACCCTCTGTCTTCACAGCCGCAAGGCAAGAAAAATGCACTATAAAATCACGTGGAGGGTGAAGCCCCCTCTCGGTGGCAAGAGGCTTGAGGGGTACCTCGAGGGGGCCAGGTTCCAGCAGCTTCACCCCATCAGAGGTTGTGCAGGTGGGCACACGCTCTGTACGGAGCGGCGGGCAGCTTTGCAAATGGAATTACCGTTCTGTAGGAGAAGAGTGAAAGCTCTGGACAGTTAGACTACCTGGGGTCACCCCAGCCCAACCGTCCTCCCAGCTGTGTCCACCCCTCTGTCCCCTCACCCACCTGTCCAGGTGATCACTGAACAGTGCCTCAGGGGGAACTCCCAGGCCTGACGGGGAGGGAAGTAGGGCCTCGGGTAACACCTCCCTCTGCTTAGCAGCCTGGGCTGGGGTGGGGTGTGGGGCTGGGTGGGCAGACTCAGGAGCCAGCACCAGGCTGATTCTAGTCACAATCAAACTAAATGGATTTGACATCTTTCCTACAGGTCAGGGTGACTTGGATCAAATCCCTTTTATGGTCTTCGGTTTCCAAATAGTCCCTTACCTCAAAGGGATTTCAAAAGGAAGGGAGAGAGGAAAGAATGCTAACACACAACAAAAGATTAAATTCATAGTAACAATAATAGAGGTCAAATCTCCTGCTAAAACCTAAACCCCTCCAATGGCTCCCCACCTCACTCCAAGAAAAAGCCAAACTTTTTCCAGAAATCATCAACTCCTCTGTCAGCCCCTCACCCTTTCCTACTGCTCTCCTCCCACTTTTCTCCAGCCACACTGATTTCTGCTCTCAACCCCACTTTCTAGGCACTTGAATTTGCTCTTCCTTCTCCCTGAAATGCTCTTCCTAGAGATCTTCCCATGGCTCGCTCCATCACTTCCTCTTCTATGGCCGCCATGTCTAAAATCACACACACACACACACACACACACAGAAACACTTCCTTCTTACCTCTGTTTTTCTCCTTAGCTTTTAGCATGATTCAACACTTTACATATCTTACTTGCTTATTTTGTTTATTTTATACCCCCAACACCACTGGGACATAAGCTCCATGAAGAAAGGGATTTTGTATGGTTTTATTTTCATTTTCTCCGCACTGTTGAATTCCTAACACCTGGAACAATGCTTAGAACATGGTAACACTTGATAAATATCTGTTAAACAAATGAAGACAATTATTACAGACCTTAGATATATGGGTGCATCCTTACCATCATCTTGGCTAGCCACATGGAGCTCTGGTTTTTTTCCTTGGTTCTTGGCCATTGAATATTCTTGCCCGGAAAGCCACCATTTTAGAATGGAAAGGCACTGCCTGAGAATCAGAGAGACCTCGTTTCTCATGATCTCACTGGCTGTGTGAGACTCAGGTAATCCCCTCAAACTTCCTTGGACAAATCCTCACTCAACTGCAAATAACAGTTGTAGAAACAGTAACAGCTATCACGTTTGAGTACTTGCTAATGTAGCAGAAACTGCGCTGATTACGTCCTGAGGCTCCTGTGGGAAGGACAGAAGGTAAATGCTATTATGCCGAACTTACAGATAAGATAAATGAATTCTCAGAGACAGTAAGTCCTTTACCAAAGAGCCATAGCAAAGCTGCAGCAAAGCTGGGGTTTAAACCAAGACAGTCATACTCCACAGTCCACACAATTGTTACTAGATAACATGATTTCCCTTGGACAGAGGCATGTAAGCTAATATCCCCTGTAGCTGTAAGACTTGCCCTCTGCCCACCCATCCATCTACCAATTCATCTATCCACCCGCCCATTCATCCACCCACCTGCCTACCTATCCATCCACCCCCATACCCATCCATTCATCTATCCATCCACCCACCCACCTGTCCATGTATCTGTTCATCCATCCACTCATCCATCCATCTAATATCCACCCATCCATCTGCCCATCCATTCATCCATTCCTTCTCTCACCTGTTGACCTGAGGAACCTTACTTAGTGATGAATTAGTAAAATATATCCTTCCAGTCAGAGAAACAGCACATAGTGCATGTTTTACGGGCAGTCAGTTACTGGTGACATCTTGGTACTCAAAGAACAGCATTCGATGACTCCATTAGCTATACCAATAACGTGGAATGTAAGATGACATAAAACTGGAAAGAAAAACAAACAAACATAAAATCCAACCAGGCAAGAAACACAAGAGCTAACATTTGGTTCAGGGGAAGCAGAGAGGAATTGTAACATTTTCAAGTACCGACAGTTTGGGAACTGGCCCTGCCTTCAAATATATTCCATGTCTGAATTTCTTTTTAATTAAAGATTAGTAAAAACACAAAATGTAGTTTGAAAGGACAAATAAAAACCATTAGCATCCTCTGCAAATATTTATTATAGATAGTTATAAGCACATGCTCTTCTCTCTATCCCATACTGCATGCTCTGGGGAACCCCCAAAAAGTAAAAGCCATACCCTTGAAGAGTCTACATTTCTTGGAAGGAGATAAAACATGTCCTTTGGCATGAAAAGATGGTGGGGAAGAGTGCAAAGGTGTGGTACAGACATCAAGGGTGGAGAAGTTTACATGTCAGGAAGGTTGGGGGTGGCAGTGTTGGATCTATTACGGAAGAGAGGAATCTCTACTTGGCCCCTCAGAAAGGAGAGCCTGGCTCCCCAAGGGGCTGATGGTCAAGCCCTGCCTGGGTGTCATCCCTGCCAGCCTCATCCTTTTCCACAGTAGCAGGCTCAGCAGCCTGGAGAACTGTCCCCCCAGAAAACTCTGTGTCGCCACACATTCAACCCTCATGGCCAGGGGCATGAAAGCGGAGGTGCCCACTGCATCCCCGTCTGATGAAGCTGAGCCCTGACTTGGGGATGTCCCAGGAGCTGCCCTGCACCAGGGGTCCTGTTGCTCATGCCAGAGTCCAGGGTCCACTCCGAGCCCTGGGCTTTGTGTGCATTTGCTGGGATTCGATTTCACTTGTTTTCCAACCCTTCACCAAGTGACCATTACATCCTGCCAAAAGAACACACTGGAGTTCAAAATAACACCCTCACCTACTTTCACGCAGACATTTTTTATTGTTTCAGAGTCAAGGAATGTGATTAAAGTATGTGGTAAGATATTTGCCCTACAGCTCAGACTTAGATTCCCTTAAGGGCTGGTGTCTTGAAGTCCTCCTTTGCAGCCCCTGCGCCTGATGTATTCTGGCCCTTCGAGGGCATTCTGTGGACGGGTGTGTTTTTGTTTGTTTAGGAAAACAGCTTTACTGAGAGTCACATACCATACGATCCACCCATTTAAAGTGTACAATTCAGTGTTTGGTTTTTTTTTTAGCATAGTCACAGGTATGTGCAAACATCACCACAGTTAATTTTAGAACAATTCCTTCACCTCAAAAAGAAATCGTGTAGGCTTCAGCAATCAATACCCTATCCTCTTTTGCCCCCAGCCCTAAACAACCACCAATTTACTTTCTTTCTTGATAGATTTGCCTATTCTGGACATTTCGTACAAATGGACTCATGTAATCTGTGGGGTTTTGTCATTGACTACTTCAATCCACATGGTTTCAGGGCTCATCTGAGCTTAACAGGTGTCCACACTTCATTCCTTTTCATGGATGAATAATACGCCCTTATACAGATAGACCACATTTTGTTCATGCATTATCACCTAATGGACGTTTGTTTTTTTCTACCTTTGGCCGGCATGGGTAATCTTGCTATAGAACAAATGCACAAATATCTGTATGGACATTTGTTTTCATGTCCTTTGGGTAAATACTCAAGAGTGGAATCGGTGGGTTTGTACGGTAACTCTGAGTTTAATCGTTTGAGGAACCGCCAGACTGTTTTCAAACTGGCTGCACCATTTTACTTCCCACCACCTGTATATGGCATGCTGGTTTCCCCACATCCTCACCAACACGGGTTATTGTCTGATACGTAGCTATGTCTTGAGTGATAGACCAGGGATGACTAAGGTTGAGAGACTCCCACAGGATATAAGAAGAAGTGGGTTGAGACTCTAAGGTGGGCATCATTCCCACCATCGTCAGCCTTCCCTGTGTCTCCAGCGTGGCTGGGTGAGAGGGACAGCCCACCAGATTTCCACTGTGCATTGGTTCCCATCTCAAGATCTTGCCAGACTTTGCTCAGGTTCACCATCCCCCATTTCTGGAGCCCCTCCTTTTCTCTTCTTTCCTTGGACCTCAGTTCATAATTCAAGGCTTCCTGCTTTTGAAACTCGCTTTTGTGCATGCAAGCCTGGGGCAGCCCTGACATTCCCTTGACTGACACACTGAGAGCACAGACGAAGACATACACAGCCGTATCTGATAAATCAGCAAGGTGGGCCTCCCCATCAGACCCGTAACACGCCAGCACCCCCTGCCATATACACACCCTCTAGTGGAGAAAGAACGAGCAATACTGAAAAATCAGCACCTGTTTCCCTCTGAGCAGGCGATGACCAACAGCTCCATACCAGGATGAGGTCTGAGCAGATCCAGGAAGAACGAGAAGTAGCGGTTACCACAGACAGGTATCCCCAGACAAGCGTAGTGAGCGTCTCCATCTGCCCATGAAGTCAGCATGTGGCAGAGGGCGGTGGGGCAGGTGGGCGCTCTCAGAATCCTGCACTCCACTGTAGCCCACCGTGAAGAAATTCGGCAGAGATTGCTGAATGAATTATTTTGCAAAAGGAATTCAAACTTCCGGGATTTTAATATCAACTCAAACTCATGTTTCTTTCTTTAAAAACCATTAAGGCTGATAAATTTTTTAATGATAGTTTTATAACTGATCTCTGGTTCTATTAATCTCTTTGTACTAACAAAATTACAAAGGGACGTTGGCTGGCACTCTCATACATGGTCCCACAGTGATCAAGGCCGTCTGCAACCTTAGCTGCCCTCCAGAAAGTGAGCACTCTGGAAACAAAGAAGACGGTCTTAATGCATGAGAAAATTCTGCCACCGAATTTCCCAAGAAATATCCGTTAGAGTGGTAATTCTATAGGACGGCAATAGGTATTAAATAACAAAAGAGCCCTGTGTGCAAACAAGCTTATAAATCACAGATTAAACACAGTTTAAATAGGTTTATTTACTGCAGCATTTTTTGTAGCTCTTAATGCCGCAGTGTGAATTATGAATCTCCAGGAGGAGAACATAATATGTGGTATTTCCCAAACTCACGGAAACCGCATTTTAAGGCACATCTGGGGGGGACCGTTTCCACAGAGCACACCTTCACTCCATGTTACACACCAGTGCACAGAAACTACGCATAGTTCAAGTTCATGACACTTTCTAAGTGAAAGGACAGAGGACGGGTACTCCCCGTGTGTGTAGCTCAGCCCACCCTTCCACTCTGCCTCCAGAATATGACTGCAGAATACCTATCTATCATTCCATCGTTTGGAGGGTACTGCTTCACTGAGTTTGTAAACTTCACATGGCATGATTCGCACTGATGTATTGTCTTTTGTTGTTGTGTTTCGAATACCTGTTGTGTCAAGAAACGTGGTTTTGTTTTTGGTCTTTTCCACAACGCATCTCAGAGTAATCTTCCCGCCCCTGGGATCTCTACAGGGCCATTCACAGAGTTGGAACATTGGAAGGTGACATTGAACTCAGTGCGTCCATCACCTGGCCGCTGTGGCCTTCACATGTCATTACCTGGAAGGCATGAATGAGTAACTGTCAACACACATGAGGAGCTTCACTCTTCTTAGTGGAGGACAGAAGACCAAGCTGTTGGTCCCCATGCTAACTGCCAGTTTGGCAGTGTCAGACCAGCTCCAGTGGGCTCCAGCCTGTCAAGAAGAGCTTCCATGTTGATCAACCCAGAGAAGTCCGTGTGAAGAAGCATGGAATTTTGTGAAGTTGGTAGAGGGCACAAAGCCAGGAGGGAGCTGGATGCCGTAGAGTCTCCTGGGGCTGCCGTAACAGTGTGCTGGGAACTGGGGGCCTTAAAACAGAAGTGTGTTGCCTCACAGTTCTGGAGGCCAAAAATCCAAAATCAAAGCTGTTGGAAGGGCCACACTAATTCTGAAGACTGTGAGGAGGATCTTTCCTTGCCTCTGCTTAGCTTCTGGTGGTTGCCATTATCCTTGGCTTGCAATTATATCACATCAATCTCTGCCTCCATCAATGTATAGCATTTCCCTGTGTCTATGTCTCTGTGTCAAGTTTTCCTCCTCTAAAAATTTTTTTTTAAGATTTATTTATTTATTTGAGAGAGCGAGAATGAGAGAGAATACATGAGAGGGGGGAGGGTCAGAGGGAGAAGCAGGCTCCTCGCTGAGCAGGGAGCCTGATGCGGGACTCGATCCCGGGACTCCAGGATCATGACCTGAGCCGAAAGCAGTTGCTTAACCAACTGAGCCACCCAGGCGCCCAAGTTTTCCTCTTCTTAGAAGAGTACCAGTGATTAGATTGAAGCCTACAATATTCCAATGCCACCTCATCTTAATTTAATTATATCTCCAAAGATTCTATTTCTGAATAAAGTCACATTCACTGAAACAAGAGGTTAGGACTTGAAGATATGTTTTGGGGGGACATAATTCAACTCACGGCTGTGGCCAAGATAAGGTCTATAAATAAATGATAACTAGAACAAGACTAAATATACAGGAAGAAATTTAATAGTGATCATTTAGAAGTAATTATAGGTTCAGAAATACATCTAAACATGTATATAATAAGAAAGATATGACTTGAAGAAACATGTATGTGAAAATTCTTAGATTTTTCTGTGATTTGGGTTGACTGCAAAGTTCCTGAGTTAGGTCTACATTGTACTTGTTAAAAATTCCATCATGATGTGAGCACAGCGTCCAGGTCAAAGGGCATGGTCACCCCAGTTCCACCCCAGAAAGTGCAAATTCTAAGAGCCAGGAATAGCTAAGAACACCAAACCTTAAGAAGGACACTGGCAGGCTAGAAGGTATACAAAGGGCATCTCCAGGAAAGGTCCCAAACCCATGATTCATGAGAAACAATAGAAAGAGCAGGTGAAAATGTGGGGGAAAAGAGACTTCAGGAGAACAAGAGAGCCATCTTCAAATACTTGATGGGCAGACAGGTGGGGCAGACTTTGGGCTAAGTTCCTACACCTACAGATTTAGGCTCTGTGGTAACAGGGAGGTGGATATGGGTTCAATACAACCCAGTTTGGGGCTGTTGACATAAACAAGCATTCAGGGGGAAGGTGGGTGAGCCCTCATGAGATTCATGAGAAAGAGGACCTTCCTCTCTAAGATCCTATCACCATTCTTGGTTTCAGGAAAGAATAAAACATCTATGGAGCTGGGATGTTTACCAACTTTGCCCATAGGGGCTCCTGGTACTAGTCTCCCACGCTGCTGGGCTCTCCCCCAGAGAACTACCTTGGACGCCAGTCTGAAGGTCCCAGGGTCCAGGAGGAGCCAGTGTGGTTCAGCTAGACAGCAAAGTCTCCTATTTATTCAAGTCTTTCATCAATGAAAATGAAGGTGAGGGTGGGGATTGATAACCCAACAGTCCACATTTTATACCTGTGGATGCTGGGAAATTCAGCTGAATTTTGTTAAAACCAACCAAATGTCCCTAGGGGCTGTATCCCCAGGCTTAGGTCTAGATATTCTCCTGAAATAATCAGGACACGCTCCCACCACCCTGAGAGAGTAGTTAAGAGGGGGTGAGGATAGGGGATCAGGGGAGAGAGGTAGGAGGTAGGGGGATTTCCAGCTGTGCCTTCACAGATTGCCAGGAGCTCAAGAGTTCTGGAAGCTACAGAGATTCCCAAAGATGGACATACATACATAAATGCATAAATCATAAGTTGGTTCTGCCTGAATGTTATCACCTAGCTCTTATCTGTTCAACGTACTGGGATTCTGAAAAGGTTTTAAAAGCCATTTAGTCCTAGAGAAATGGACTAAATCCAACA